TATTTTTTTAGTTGTCCAGATCATTTCTTTCTATTTTTTAGTAGAGACGAGGTCTCGCTCTTGTTCAGGCTGGTCTTGAACTCCTGACCTTGAGCGATCCACCTGCCTTGACCTCCCAGAGTGCTAGGATTACAGGCCTGAGCCACCGCACCCGGCCTCAACTACCATTTTTATTTGTTCATGCATAAAAGTTCTGTTGGAAGAAGGGTATGCTATGTAGTAAGTGTTAGAACTTCTGGAATTGAGAAGTAGGATCCCATAGCTGGAACACCTGTTATGTTTTAATTATTGTGCTTGGACTCTTTGGCATCTTTTTGTTTAATCTTCACAATAGCCTTTGACATGTTATCATTTGAGCTCTATGAATGATTTTTTGGTTTTTCTGGGTTTATAGAGGATTCTAGATAATGTATAAAAAAATTTAGGAAATTGACCGATATTTAAAGTAATAATTGTGCTAGAAGAAAATGAATCCATTTAAAAATCAAAATAAACTTACGATAAAAAATAAAGCATGTAATTGCAGGTATGATTGTCTTTTTTTAAAAAAACTTTTAAATTATGGTGGATATATAATAGTTGGGTACCTTTATAGTATACATGTGATATTTTGATACAGGTATAATGCAAATTAATCAAATGAGGGTAATTGGGGTATCCATCACATCAGGCATTTAACATTTCTTTGTGTTAGAAATATTCCAATTGTACTCTTTTAGTTATTTTAAATTATACCCTAACTTATTGTTGATTATAGTCTACTTTGTTGTGCTATCAAATGTTGTTCATTCTATCTAACCATCTAACTAACTATATTTTTGTATCCCTTAACCATTCCTAGTTTATTCTCCACTCCCCACTACCTCTTCCAGCCTCTGGTAACTGTTATTCTGCCTGTCTCCATGAGATGAATTGTTTTAATATTTAGCTCCCACATATGAGTGAGAACATGTGAGATTTGTCTTTCTGTGTTTGTTCTCCAGTTCTATCCATGTTGTTGCCAGTGGCGGGATTTGATTCTTTTTTGTGGCTATATAATACTCCATTGTGTACATGTTTCTTTAGCCCTTCATCCATTGATGGATACTTAGGTTGATTCCAAATCCTGGCTTTTGTGAATAGTGCTGCAGTAAACATGGGAGTGCAGATATCTTTTTGATATATATTAATAGAATTTCCCTCCTTTGAATATATACCCAGCAGTGGGATTGCTGGGTCATGTGGTAGTTCTGCTTCTAGTTTTTTGAGGGATCTCCATACTGTTCTCCATAGGGGTTGCGCTAATTTCCATTCCCACCAACAGTGTACGAGGGTTCCCCTTTCTCCACCTCCTCACCAGCATTCATTATTGACTGTCTTTTTGATAAAAGCCATTTTAATTTGGATAGGATAATATCTCATTGTAGTTTAGATTTGCATTTCTCTGATGACTAATGATGTTGAGTATTTTTTTATAATCTGTTGGCCATTTGTATGTCTTCTTTTGAGAAATGTCTATTCAGATCCTTTGTGTGGGCATGATTTTCTTTCACCATCAATAATAATTTTTTATAGAATCCTGCTAGCAATCACCCTAGATTAAGAAATGTCAGAAGATGGCTCTTTCCTTTAGACTGGTTCCTCCTGATCCTTTTTTTCCTGTCATCTAGCTGTATCAGAGATATGGGCCAGGTAGGAAATTTGGATGAAGTATTGATGGTAACACAAGTTTCTAGGTTCCTGGAGAGTATCATGTCTCACACTGGCAAACGCTTCAGCTGACTTATAATCATTAGTGTTTGAAAAGGTTAAAAAAATGGGCTCTGGAATCACATCTTGACTATGCCACTTGCTGGCTCAGTATCCTTTGGGAAGTTACTTCACTTCCCTGAAGCCTCTGCTTCCTCATACATAAAATGGGAATGACGAGACCACCTCAGTGGTTGCAAGAATCGTATTATATAAAGAGTGCAAAGTGCTATGCACAAGTGCAGAGTGCATAGAAGCTACTTGAGAAATGTTAGCTGTTTTATTATTATTTTTATCATTCATTTAACAAACATTCATCATAGATTTATTTTTATTCTTGAACATAGTTCTTCTTTCATTATTGCTCTGGATCTTTATTGAAGTTTTGCTGTCGCTGTTGAACATCTCTATAGCTTTCTTTAGCGCTTGCTTTCAGGATAGAATACAAATTTCAGAAATGATGGAGAATAGTATAAATCTGTCCCTGCAGAATAGTTATCTTGAACTCCTGAGTCTTTCTTAGATGTAGCTTTCTAAAAATCTTATTTCTCAATGCTCAATTTCTGACTTCTCTCCTAGCAGATAATCTCTGTATTGTAGTAAGATTGAGGCCATTTGACATCTGTACCTCCCTTTCTACCCACGCAAACTGTTGATTTACTAATTCCTATTTCTGTTCTTTTCCCACTTGAGAGGAAGCTTATTTTTTCTTTAGTGGTATCAGACGATCTTCAGAATGAAGTAAAAATGCCTCAGCATTATGCCAGAATCCTTTTGTAATTCAGACCCTGCTTTTATGAACTCTTAACACAATACACTTTGGTCAGATACAGTGTGCCATGTTTTTTTTAGGCCCAAATACCTTCTTATAACTGATTCTCTGCTTGGAATCCATCTGGTCTTCAGGACTCAGTGTTCTGTCATTTCCTCCCTGATGTGTCAGATACTTTCTTTTCTGGAAACCTATAGTATCTTGTACTTCTCTCTTTTTGTGGTATTTATGTTATGTTGTATCGTTTGTTTTCAGGTTTTCTGAGGGACTGTGCTTCAGTCTAGGCCCAATTTGGATCTCAACTTTGTTTAACTAAAGGACATAAAGGGTCGGGCGCAGTGGCTCACGCCTGTAATCCTAGCATTCTGGGAAGCAGAGGTGAGGGATTACTTGAGCTCAGGAGTTCGAGGTTGCAGTGAGCTATGATGACACCACTGCACTCCAGCCAGGGCAACAGAGTGAGGCTTTGTCTCGAAAAAGAAGAAAAGAACAAAGTAACTACTATTCACTAAAATAAGTAATATCTGAGAAATGAATTTGTTTTTAAGATATGATTGATAACTTCAGTTCCTGTCTCTCTGTATTTTAGGTAATGGAACTGCTGGTCCATCTGAATAAACGGATAAAAAGCCGCCCCAAAATTCAACTCCCAGTAGAGACACTTTTGGTTCAGTACCAGGACCCTGCTGCAGTTTCCTTTGTCACAGTAAGTGTCATGGTGGAATATTTTCTGAGTTATAGCAAGTTTTCTTTGCTAAT